CTCCATTGTGTTTAGTTCTTTTTATGGAGTTTTGTTCTGATCTTTCATTTGGGATATTTGTCTTCTGATTTGGGTGGCTTCCCTGTGTTTGTTTCTATGTATTAGGTAGAGCTACAACATCTCCCAGGCTTGGTGGAATGGTCTAATGTAGATGTTCTGTAGGGTCCAGTGGCATAGCCTTGCCCATCACCCAAGCTGGGCACTCAAGGTGCAACACCATAAGATGTATACACCTTCCTCTAATAGTTGTGCCTTGATTGCTATTGGCATATCAATGAGAGGCATTTACCCCCATGCCAATCAACTGCAAAGACTGGCTGTGATCACTGACTACCGACCTCCAACTACCATGGAGAATAAGCTGTACAGGGGCCCACTCCACAGAGCAGGACTTACTTAGCAGGGCTTTGGTGCCCATTGAGTCCACCCCTTGAGTGTGTGGCTTATGGAAGTGGTTAGATGGTGATATGCTTCAACATGGTATGCAGCTGTCCAAAGGGTACACTGGCTCTAGGGCCTCCCAGGAGGTACAAGCCAAGGTCAGCTGCCACCTGTGTTCTTCCCAGGGTTACCAGGCATGGCTGCTACTTGTGCTGGGATTGGAGGTGCCCAGGCAAGGCCGAGCTGCAAACCAAGGCCAGTTGCTGCTAGTGCTGGGCCTGCAGCCACTTAAACAAGAGGTACGAGGCATGCTGAGGCCAGATGCTCCAGTCACAATGTCAAAATTAAAACTAAAATACAAAACAATCATTCACAGAATTGCCTGAAATCTGGCTGAATAGAAATCCTACAACTAGAAAATTAAAGAAGCAGCCATGTCATGACTGGTAGGAGGGACAAAGATGTACTGCAGGGCTATTCTCATACCCATGTGTGGTGGATAAAAACTGGGAGGTATATCTCGATTGCAGAGGTCCTCCCACAACAGGTCCCCCAGTCCAGAATTCTAGTGCCAGGAAGAGAAGTCCCCATAACTTCTGGCTATAAAAACCAGTGGGGATTTCAGGTGAGAGAGATGGAAGTCTTCTGAAGTCCCAGGCAGTTCATCTTAAATGGCCCACACGCTGTCTTACTCTGACTAATTCTCTCTGAGTTCCAGCACTGTGGCAGCAGCTTGAAAGGTACCAGAGATATACAGGGAGGAACTGAAGGTCCAGGATCAAGGTGAGAACTGAAGGGCAGCTTTCTCCCAGGCAGAAGTGCTAATAGAGGTCACTGTTCCTTTGATGAATCCTCCTGCCAGAGCTGGCAGGCAGGCATCATATCTGAGACTTCATCCACCTGGCTCACATTGTTTGCCCCACCTTGGTGATTCCGATTCCCTGCCCCACCCAACTTTCAGGCCCACCCAAGCTATTTCCAGTGGCTTTTCCATCAAATAACCTGTCTCAGCTCATGCTTCAGAGTTTTCTGAAATCTCTCAAACAAGCAGCATTTGGCCTTAGTGTGCTCTGTACCTCCCAATTTTTATCCACCACATATGGGTGTGGGACCAGTTCGGTGTCTCCATTTAGCCAGATTTCAGGCAATTCTGAATGGGTGTTCTGTAGTTTAGATGTAATTTTGATGTAATCGATATTCAAGTTTCCGTATCTTTGTCCAGTGAAAACATCTTCAAGTTGTATCCTGAGACCTTATGACCCAATCATAAAGGTCTTTCACAGTTTGCTACCAGGTATGATAAAAATATGCAAGCTTAGCCCAGAACTGGAATCAGACATCTAAGAAACTGGCTGCTGTCACTTTGTTATTTGTTTTGTTTTATTTTATTTTTAGCTATGGAAATATTTATAGTCTAGTTTTCAAATATTTCTACCCTTTGTTCATTTGCTTTTTTTCTCTCTTTTTTTTTTTTTTTTTTTTTTCCTATTCTTCACATATCACTTAACTTTTATATTTTTCTACTTCTGAATCTCCTCTTCTGGAAAAGCTCCCATAGTTAATTTGTTAGTTCTTGTGTGAATTAATTTTAATAAATCTACTACTGCTTCCCTCTCTCTATCATACAGATTCTCTAAGACTAAATTTGAAGGAAAAGTTAATTATCTATACTAGTTTTTCATCTTGTCCTTCTATTTGTTTCTCAAAAACCTATATGTAGGCGTTGGCCAGGTGGCTCCAGTGGCTGGAGCATCATCCTGTACATCGAAAGGTTGTGGGTTCGATTCCCAGTCAGGGTACATACCTAGGTTGAAAGTTTGATCCCCAGTTGGGGAACATGCAAGAGACAACCAATCAATGTTTCTCCTTCACACCAATGTTTCTCTCTCTCTTTCCCTTTCTCTCTCTAAAAATCAATAAACATATCCTCACAAGAGGATAAAACGAAACAAAACCCCTATATTTAATAGTTTAAAAATGTAAAATTACTCCCCATTTTATTAAAACAAACTTCAACTAATTTTCATTATAAAAAGTTAAAGGCACTACAGTCGGCCCTTGTTTATCACAGTTAATCAGTTCCAGACTCAATCGCGATAAATGAATTTCCGCGAAGTAGGATTCTTTATTTATATACAGTCATCCCTCGCCACTTTGTGCTTCGACTTTCGTGGCTTCTGCTCTATCATGGTTTTTTCAAATATAGTATAGTATAGTATTTGAAAAAACCACGATAGAGTGAAGCCGCGAGAAGTGCAATGTGGCAAGGGACGACTGTATTTAGGAGAAATAAAAATCAACTACAGCCCTGGCCAGTTTGGCTCAGTGGTTAGAGTATCGGCCTGCGGACCAGAGAGTCCCAGGTTCAGTTCCCACTAAGGACATGTACCTCAGCTGCACTTTGTCCCCAGCCCCGGCTGGGGTCGTGTGGGTGGCAGCCACTCGATGTGTCTCTGTCACACTGATGTTTCTCTCTCTCTCTTCCCTCCTTTCTCCCTCCTGCTCTGACGATAAATGCAAAAATGTCCTCAGATGAGGATGAAAAAGAAAAAAAAGAACAACTATAATCACCTAATAACATGTTACTTTTCTACAGTTACTTCAAGTTCTTCAAGTTTCTGTCATTCAATTTTTAAATTGTAATCAGAAAAAAATGGAGAGAATATTTTATCTTGCAGTTTGCTTAAACTGTGCAGCTGTAAAAAAGAAGGATCTCTTACCCTTTGAGAGAGCATGGAGGGACATGGAGAGTATTACGCCAAGCGAAATAAGCCAGTCATAGAAAAACAAGTACCACATGATCTCACTTATATGTGGAATCTAATGAACAATTAAAATGACAAAATAGATCCAAAGACATGAAAGCATGGAAAAGACTAATGAATCTCAGAGGGAAGGAGGGAGGTGGGAGGCAAGAAGAGATTAACTGAAGAACTTATATGCATATATGCATAACCCATGGGCACAGACAATAGTGAGGTGAAGGCCTGAGGTGGGAGTGGGGTAGAGGGGGTCAATAAGGAGAAAAGGGGTGGGGAACATCTGTAATACTTTGAACAATAAAGATAAATTTTTAAAAATGTTTATTCTTAAGGTCTTCTTATATGGCTATTCTTCAAAATAATATATACTTAAATTCATATAAAAATGCTTAGTACAGTACCTGGAACATGTAAGTGCTAAGTAACTGCTTATTATCAAATAATGGTTTAACTCCTTACTAAGTCAAAATGTAAATATAAATATTTTCTTCCTGCAGCACAATTCAATAGTTTCTAATTATTGCAATTGCTCTCAACGTTACAATGAATAACCACGTATGTTCAGCTTCCCTGACTTATCATTTATTTTCCTTGGAAAAATTGTTGACCTGAGATTCATAGGTCAAATATTTTTCCAACAATTTCTACTAATTCTGTAATTATAAAGTATCCTTTGTTTTTAACATGGATTCCTTTGAATATTAGATATGTTAAAAGACTCTCAAGCACTTACTATTCAAATTTCCTTTTGTATAATAAAAGCATTACAATTTAATAGGTAACTGCTATTAATTCAATGATTACATTTCATAATGTTTTATCTTCATTAATTGTTCCTTAATGATTACACAGGGGTCATCTATTACTTTAGTTAAATGTGTTATTTTTACTTTTTTAATTAAAACGCTTGGAGATCTCTAATATTTTAAGTTTGGATTAAAGAATATTTTTAAATATTTTAAATCTGGACTCTAGTTATAGTGATGTAGTAATAAATTACTCTTTGACTCTCATGTGTACTTTTTCCTTTTCTTGCCTCAATTTGCCTTTCATTGTTAATATAAACCCAAAGAGTCCTGATGCTCTTTTTCTCCTTTTCCAATTTAATTTTTTCGGTAAAAAGAATTGTTCTGAATATGATACCCTTAGTAATCCATGATTTCATAAGTTTCTGAGATGTTACTTATGAAAAATATGCCTCAGATGTAGTATTTTTAAAATGCTGATATAATATTAAACATTCTTAAAACTTGGCAATTTTCAAATTCTATAAAATTCCAAATTCAAAATGCAGAAATATCATATATATATATCTGACCAATGTTGCAGGTGTGTGTATTTCTAATGAGAGACTCAGAGAGAGACTCACTCACCTTGAATCTCATTATAACTTCAGCCAGTAATACTACTATATATAGTAATATATTATTTAATAGTTATTGAAGCAACTAGCTCCCAATTCTTAGTCTGCTGCTAACTACTTACATGATTTGGAAGAAGTCTTTTAACCTCTTAATTGCTAAAACACACAATCGAAGAAGTGAGATTTAGACTAAATCTTAATAACCCCCTCCAGCTCTGAAATTCTAATGATTTCTGTGCAAACCAGTAGTCTAAGATACCTTTAAGGAAAGACCATTCCTTAAACTTCTGAATCTCAAGGCAACACTGCTACACACTGAAAAGGAACTTTAAAATAACCATTGATTGACTAACTCTAAACAGATGTATAACAAGAAATTATCTGTACACTATAAGATCATTTCTGAGGAAACAGCATTTTTAACACCTTATCATGTCCAATAAAATAGGAATGCACCAATAGCAAAACATAAATATATGGAGAAAAATACTCACCAATGTATCCAGGCCAACATGCTGCCTTCCTTTCTCTTGATGTGGCCCTAATATCAATTTTCCAGTAGAAAAAAGGGGTGTATCCAATGTTTTATATACTTTCAACTCATCATTTTCAACTGAAAATTTATATGTATTTCGTGGCCTTAAAAGATCTAAGGGAAAAATATTAATATAAATATAAAGCAATAGCAATGACATTGCTCAATAATATAACATATACACACATAATTACAATAGTCATTTCTAGATATAAACCTTCCTTAGAAAGACATAAAATGATTAAGATCACTGACTCTGGAACTAGAATGCCAGATGTCAAATTCTGTCTGTCTTACAAGGTATGTAACCTTAACCAAGTTACTTACATTCTCTATCTGTGCCTATGTTTCCTTTTCTATAAAATAATTATAGTTGACCTATATTAAACTTGTAAATATCAAATGAATTAATTTGAATAAAGTATTTATAACACTGGCACAAAGTAAACATCAAAGTCTTAGCTATTAATCATAATAATGGAAGTGTTATTATTTCCATTACAGCTCAAATGAAAAATAAAAGTAGCGAAGAGACAAGAAAGACTTCCATATATTTAAAAAGTTTAACACAGCCCACAATACAAATGTATCATTATCATGCCAATAAATTCCTTTGCATTTGCAAGATTGTTATTTCTCAGGTACAGGCTCTAAGGAACCAAAGTTCCAACTGTTGCTCACTGATTACTATCTCCCTTCTGAATTTATTTTTTACTTATAAAACTTTCCAGTTCTATACTTAATACATTCTTCTATCATCAGCTTCTGGCTGTTTCCTTGAATATTTGGGAATGTTACTAATCCCACCTGACAAGATATAGGAAATACACAGATTCAAGAAACAGATCAAAAATGATGAACTCCTAACAACACTCAACTTTTCTAATCTGGTACAGTACAGCCATGTTTTTAATTAATACACTACACTAAACAAAATTCTCTGTACTCCTACCTCTGCTACCAAATAAACAATCTGAATATAGAAATAACTTCACTGCTTAAGAAGTCGAATGGAACCTATTTCACAGCCAAATTTTTAAGTGTGAATAGCACTGCAGCCTCTCTAGTTTGACATAAATAGTCCCTGGTACTACTGAGACAGACACAACAGTTGTTAAGACATTAAAATATTTCCTATATATAAATACTGACTGCTTGGTAAAAATACCTTAGTGTCCCCTGCTTACTCCCACCACACTATGCACATCCCTTGGGACCTCCCATCGTCATCCAAGACACTAATGTCTATTTAATACAGTAGGAGGTCTCTACGACCTTGTGTCAACCCTGTTTGTTTGGCTGATTGATGCACTCACCAGTCATCCCCACAAAGGTTTTGTGCCCGGGTACCATTACTGGAATCTCACTGCGAAAAAGGCTATCTAAATCCTGCCCACAATCCCTTTCAGCCTAACAGTAAGAGTGTATCCTGGTGCTATATGCCCCCTAAAAGTTGTCTGCCATCAATACTCTCCCAGAATACTCCTCATATGGGCTGCTTATTGGAATCAGACCCTCTACTGGATGTTGGCTCTGAAAGAGCTAGGAAGACAGAGAAAGCGGACAGGCCAGTCATCAATCAAGCCAACAGTTTGTCCTCATCAGCTATTAAATTAAGCATTTTCAATATCATCCCTGACCTTACCCAGGAGAATAATCTTTCTTGTTTCCGGATCCTTTACGCTTGTTGGCTGCAAAGGATCTCCCAGAGGTATATTCAGATTTATGACTAATTCTTTTTCTGCAAAAAAAAAAAAAAAATACAATTAAAATACAAACTACTTAATAAAATTCTTTTCAATTTAAAAAAATCTAGAATAAAATATAGCTATGGACAATTTGCAAAGGAAAATTGTCAGAAGCATACAGATATCTTTCCATGTATAACTGAATAATCTGATAAACAATAACTCCACGCCCAGGCCAGTTTGGCTCAGTGGTTGGAGTGTAAGCCTGCGGATCAGAGAGTTCCAGGTTCGGTTCCCGCTGAGGGCACATACCTTGGTTGTAGTTTGTCCTCGGCCCTGGTTGGGGTCGTGTGGGTAGCAACCACTCAATGTGTCTCTCTCACATTGATGTTTCTCTCTCTCTCTCTCTCTCTCTCTCTCTCTCTCTTTTCCTCCCTCTCGCCCTCCTGCTCTATCTGGGGATAAATGTAAAAATGTCCTCAGGTGAAGATAAAAAATTAAAATTAAAAAACAAACAAACAAAAAAAAAACAATAACTCCAAAACAATGACTTAATGCAGAAGAAAATATCTAAATTTCTTATTTTCTGTATACCTGTTGTAACATAACTTTTGAACTCTTGCATCAAGAAGTTAAATGGTTTTGCATATTCTCTAAGAGAGCTGGAAGTATGCAATATACCTTAGAAAGAATTCATCATAAAGTCTATTTTAACCATTCCTGGGCATGAAAAAGGTAAGGTTCATTTGATAAGGCTATTTACTAACAGGGAAATGTTTTATACTATTCTATGAATAAGTTTTGTTTTTAAGAATAAAATCAGTTTGGATTTCCAGTCAAGATAGCAAAGAAGGTAAGTGCTACGCTCTCCACCTCTCATTAACACATTATAGAACAACCACCCTGGAGGACTACCTGAAGACAAGCTGAACAGAAATTCCAATAACTAAGAATATAAAAAGCAGCCACAGGGAGACTGGTAGAAGTGGAGACATGAAACAGGCTGGTCCCATACACACATGTGGTGGTTATGAATGGGGAGGTAGCCCTGGCTGGTTTGGCTAAGCAGTTAGAGCATTGGCCCGTGGACCAAAGAGTCCTGGGTTCGGTTCCCGCTAAGGGCACATACCTCAGTTGCAGTTTGTCCCTGGCCCTGGTTGGGTCATGTGGGTCAGTGGCAACCACTTGATGTGTCCCTTTCATGTCGATATTTCTCTCTCTCTCTCCCCCTCTCTTCCTCCTCCTCTGTCTGAAGATAAATGCAAAATATGTCCTCGGGTAAGGGAAAAAAAAAGAAAGAATGGGGAGGTAGCCCTGGTCAGTTGGACTCAGTGGTTAGAGTGTCATCCTGTGGACTGAAGGGTTGCGGGTTCAATTCCTGGTAAAGGGTATGTACCTGGGTTTCAGGTTTGATCCCCACCTGACCCAGGTCAGGGGTCGTGCAGGAGACAACCAATCAATGTGTCTCTCTCACATCGATGTTTCTCACTCTCTCTCTCACTCCCTCCTTTCCACTTGATCTAAGAATCAATGGAACAAATATCCTCGGGTGAGGATTAACAACAACAACAACAAAAGAATGGGAAAGTATATCTCTGTAGAGGTTCCCCTGAGGAGTGAGCAGTCGTAGACATATAGTAGGCTTGCCAGTCTAGAACACCAGTGCCAGGAAAATTGAGTCTCTAGCCCTGGCCAGTTTGGCTCAGTGGTTGGAGCATAGGCCTGCGGTCCAGAGAGACCCAGGTTTGGTTCCCGATAAGGGCTCATGCCTCTGTTGCAGTTTGTCCCCGGCCCTGGTTGGGTCATGCTGGTGGTGCCCACTCGGAGTGTCCCTTTCACCTCTCTCTCTCTCTCTCTCTCTCTCTCTCTCCCCCTCCCTCCCTCCCTCCCTCCCACTCTATCTGAACAAAATATCGAAAAATGTTAAGTCTCCATAGTATCTACCTGTGGACATCAATGGGGATTCTGTCCAGGTGAGACAAGGGGCTACTGGAGACCCATGTGAACCCAAGCAGACAGACTCATTCACAAACACTTGCACTAAGCTCCAGAGTAAAGAGAGCAACTCAAAAAGTGACCAGGACATGAGAGGAAAAAAAAGAATTGTCTGGCTTCAGGGCAAGGGCTGGGCAGGGGAGAGGGAGTGCCATGGTTCCTTTGTTGAGCTCACCCCACACATAGCCCACAAGAGCAGGTGGACACCAAGTCTGAGTCTCCATTAACCTGGTTAACACCACTCAACCCACACTAGTGATTCCCTGGGAACTCCTCTGCCAGGCCTGAACCTCTTTCAGTGGTTGTTCCATGAAAGTAACTAGCCTTGGTCAGTGCTGGGGACTTCCCTAAAATCTCTCAAAGGTCCACACACCACAAACAAGCAGTGGCTGGCCTCGGCATGCCCTGCACCATTGACAGCTGGCCTGTTTGTAGCACAGCCTTTCCTTGGTGCCTCCAAGCTCATCACAAGCAGCTACTAATCACAGTTCACACTGTAGCTCTTACCAGGTGGCCCCGGGCAGGGCACAGGTAACGAGTGACCTGGGCCTGCACCAAAGTGCCTCCCAAGAGGCTCCAGAACAAACACACCCAATGGCTGACTTCAGACAACACTAGAGCACCACATAATTAGTTCCATAAACAACACACTGAAAGGGTGGGTTCAGCAGGCACTAGAGCCTTGCAACAGTGAATCCCAGTTTGTAGGGTCAGACCTCACATAACATCTCATTAGCTACAGTCAAGGCCATTCCTCACAGCCAGTCAGCCAGAGGGTCAATCCCACCAACTGACGTACCAACAGCAATCTAGGCTCAACTATTACAGGAAGACACACACACAACCCACACAAGGGACAAGCCTGGAGCAACTAGCTAAGATAATCTGGGAGACTGTACCACTGGGCCTCACAGAATACATACTACATAATGACCTAGCCAAGAAAAGGAGACTTAGAGGATCCACCTAATGCATAGAAAAAAAAAAAAAAAAGAGAGAAGGAGGCTGCCAGAATGAGCAGACAAAGAAACATGTCCTAAATGAATAGGACAAAACTCCAGAAAAAGAACTAACTGAAAGAACGGCAAGCAATTTACTAGTTAGAGTTCAAAACACTAATTATAAGGATGCTAAAAAGAATTTAGGGGGAAATAGATAAAATCAGTGAGAACTTACATAAAGAGATACAAACCATAAAAAAGAATCAGTCAGAAATAAAAAATACACTAAATAAAATGAAGAATACATTTTATTTTGATGGAATCAACAACAGATTAGATGAAGCAGAGGATCAAATCAGTGATTTGGAACACAAAGTAGTAGAAAATACCTAATCAGAACAGCAAAAAGGAAAAATAAATTTTAAAAAATGGGAATGGAGAAATACCGGCCTCTAGTCAAGATGGCAGCTTAGGTAAATGCAGTACTCACTTCCTCCCACAACCACATGAAAATTACAACTAAACTACAAAACAACCATCATTCACAACCACCTGAAATCAAGCTGAATGGAAGTCCTACAACTACAAAATTAAAGAAGCAACCAAAGCAAGACTGGTAGGAGGGATGGAGGTACAGATGGGTTGGTCCCACACCCACATGTGGCAGATAAAACTCAGGAGGGAATCCTCAGCTGTGAAGGTCCTCTGTGAGGAGCGAAGGGTCCCCATCCACACCAGGCCCCAAAACTCAGAGTTCCAGTGCCAGGAAGAGAAGTCTCCATAACTTCTGGCTGTAAAAACCAGCAGGAACTAAGGCTGACAGAGACTGAGGCTTCTGGAGTCCCAGGCAGCAACTCTTAAAGGGACAAAGCACAGACTTAGTTGGACTCACCCCTCTAGGCTCCAGCAACGGGGAGGCAGCATGAAAGGCACCAGAGACATACAGGAAAAAACTGGGTTGTTTAGCACTGGGGCAAAAGCTATAGGACAGCTTTCTCCCAGACAGACGTACAGGTGGAGGCCACTGCTCCTTTGGTGAGACCTTCCACAACAGGGCTGCAGAAGGACGCCATATATGGACACTCCAGCGACCTGGCTCATTCTGTTTACTCCACCCTGGTGATTCCCTGAGGCCCTACCCAACCCAAATTTCAGGTCCACCCAAGCTATTTCCAGTGGCTTACTATAGGAATGGCCTGTCTTGGCTCCTGTTTCAGATTTTCCTAAATTCTCTCAAAAAAGCAGCTCTGGCCTCAGCGAGTCCATACCTCTCACTAAGTGACCCCAGGCCTGGCACTAGGAGCATCCAACATTGGTTCACAAATTGGCTTTGCCTGGGCTCCTCCAAGCCCAGCACTAGCAGCCATCTGTAGATTGCCTCGACTGTTATGCCTGGTGGCCCTGGGTAGAACACAGGCAGTAACTAATCTTGCCCCAGAGCCAGCACACCCAGGAACACCTTCAGACCATGGCAAAACACCACCACCCAGCCACCTCCACAAGCAACACACTCAAGGAGTAGACTCAACAGGGACCAAAATAAATGAAATCAGAAATCAAAGCAAAGTGACAATTGACACCACAAAAATAGAAAGGGTTATAAGAAAATACTATGAACAATTATATGCCAACAAACTGGACAACCTGGAAGAAATGTATAAATTCCTAGAAACATACAATCTGCCAAATACTAAATCAAGAACTACCAATGAATCAAATAAGTAATAAAAAACCTCCCAACAAACAAAAGTCCTGAACCAGATGCCTTCACAGGTAAATTTTACCAGATATTCAACAAAGAATTAACACCTATCCTCGAACTTCCATAAAATTCGAAGAGAAAAGGTTCAAAAGCTCATTTAACAAGGCCAGTATTACCGTGATACCAAAACCAGAAAATTACAAAAAAAGCCAATATCCATGATGAACATAGATTTTTTAAAATCCTCAACAAAATGTTAGCAAACTAAATTCAGAAATATATTAAAAAGATCATATACCTTGATCAAGTGGGCTTATTCTTGGGATGCTAGCTTGATTCAATATCTGCAACTCAATTAATGTTATACATCACATAAACAAAAATATAGGATAAAAATCATATGATCATATGAACA